GTTTTCTGAGGCTTAATGATTGACACATACCTTTTTGTGAACCAAACAGAAGTGCCTGTTGTTAGAGATGAGAAAGTAGAAAAACTGCCTAGGATAGTCCATGGCAAAATCACAAACTCAAGATGCAGTAAGAGAAAGTCTCGTTCAGACCTTATACCCAAAGTAAATTGTCAAGTTTAGTGCCAGCAAATGAAATTATTTCATTTGGAGCTTTCCAAGGAGGTTTAAGGCATCTCTTCTGTAAGATGGTAGTTATTCAGAAGTAAAGGTTTCTTAGAATTTTTATGCATTTGTCAAAAAACTGCCAAATCATAATTCTGCTAAGATATGTGTAAGCCTTCACATTGAATTAAGTGAAAGTATTTTTTTGGTTCCTAAGAGATAAATGTAGTTTGTATCTGGTGTTAAAACAACTGACACTGTTCATTTGTTGGCCTGAGATGCATTATACATGGCAATTCCTGAGTCTTTTTCTGATTATAAAATACATGTTAGTCCATCCGTGCACTGCTCTCTGCTTGCAGCAGTGTTGCAGACCTGGTACTCTCTTGAGGAGGGATCTGCACATTGTTAGCATAAGCAGAGGAAATCTGTATTACAAAATGAATATATGCCTTTCTGGCAAAGAATGACATATTAACAGGATTCTTGATGTTCATAATTGTACAACAGCCCAAAAATATTATTTTCCCAGATTGGCCATTTTTATGTGGGCGTCACCAAAGGTAGTAACTCTTCCCTCTTCCACATCTATTTTATGAGACTTTTATTGCTTACTCTCTGTGTAAAACCTTATTTATAATTTGACAAAGATTTACCTGCCCTCACTGAAATCTAGTATGCTTTTGAAATGAAATGCTCTCCTATCAACAATGAGTCTATTAAAAAATTACGGTTGCTGTAAAACTGATAATGTAAAAAACCTTTGGTAATGGGTGGTTATGTTCTTTCTGTAGGTTTGGCAATTTTCCACTAATGGACCAGTGTTTTCATCTCCATGCCTCTCAAGTTTAACTAAGCAAGAAATATTTTTTGGCTCTCATGACTGCTTTATCTACTGCTGTAACATGGAGGGTAATTTACTGTGGAAATTTGAAGCCACTTCAAGTGTATATGGAACACCATTCATTTTCCAAAGTGATGACTTAAATAACAAAATTCTCTTGGCAGCAGTATCTACAGATGGCAAAGTGTGGATCCTGAATGCCAAGAGCGGAACAGCAGAAGGAGTAGATAAGCTTCCAGGGGAGGTTTTCTCTTCGCCTGTAGTATGGGGAACAAAGCTTGTTGTTGGCTGTAGAAATGATTATGTTTATTGTCTGGATCTGTATATAGCAGGAAAAAGTAACAGCTAAGATGTTAGGCTGCTTCCTTGTTATTGTTTACATTTGTAAAACTAGGAGCTCACAGGTGCTCTCTACCCCTCTGCCTATTTTGCTGCAGGCAAGAGATGCTCCTTGCAGGCTTATCAGGTGGCATTTTGCATCAGGCAGTGTCCAGTATGGAGGGAGAATGGCTGCTCAGCACCGTGCCAGGGAGGGGACAAAGCGTGTAAGGTGCCGTATTCCACAGCTTGGATAGCAGGCTTATCTCCGAGGGAGGAATGTGCTGCTTTCTCTGAGACCCTCCTCGCCTGTGCCTGGCTCTTCCTTGCACCAGACTAGTGTTTGTCTGTCTGTCAAGATTTCTGTGCCCGGCAAGCTAACCCAGGTCCTTTTTTGAATGTAACTTTTAACTTGATTTCTGGAGACATAGCCTGAATTTCATATACCTGGAAGGAGCCACCTGTTTACTACAGTTTGTACAAACAGAATAGTTCATCTTTTGTGGACCTCAGCCTATCATGGATTAATTAATCTAGCATACACTTAGACTTCATTGAAGTCAGTAGGAGTTGCCTCTTGTATTCTAAAGTAGAAATAACACTATAAATATTTATTATATTTCAATGACAGGAACAGTATGAGTTCCAAGATGAAGTGTGCACTGCTCAAATTAACCGCTGTAAAAGAATTTTTTAAAGATATTTGAATGAATGCTGTTTACATTGTCTTCAAAAGAACTATTAATAAAAGGTTGTGTAAATTGGGTTTTGTGTTCTTTAACACCTTAGCAATAAGTACCAGTGGTTTTGGTAATGCAAATCAAGTACTTGCAGTGGCAAAAGTACACTTCACTGAGAGCACTTCCTAAGAGTCTTCTAAAAGAAGTGTAGTAGAAACTCTTATCTTACTTGTTCTCATGAGCCATCTACTTTGAATCCTGTGTAGTGTGTAGTACAGTTGTAGCACTGTAACAAGTTCTATTTGTAAGGCCAACCTGAACTACATGATCAGCAAAATGAGACAAAGGACATATATCAATGATTAGATAATTTTGACCAGGTTATAGTTTAATAAGATTTAAAATGACAGTATAATAAACAATTGCACTTTAAAACATTTGAAAAATTAAAAAAAGTACACAACAAATACCCCACAATTATACATCTTGTAGTTTTTATACATTACTATATGAACATAGAGGTTAATCATATATAACCTTGTCAAAAGAAATGGTATTTTGTGTTTGTATAAGTTACAAAAAATTGAGACAATATACTACATAGTGGTTTATTCGGTTCTTAAAACATTTTTGCTGTTTTAAACTGGGTAGTAGTGTTTTGGATTTATTTTTACAGATTTCCAATACTTTATCAGAAATGGCTGCAACAAAGCTAAAGCAAAGTAAAACTTCACTTCATTGGTATTTAGTGCAAATCTTTGTTAATTTAACATGAAATGTTACTGTTGCACATGTACACTCTGGAAATGTTTCTGTCAAGTACTGTACATAATACAGTTTCCATTGTTACACTAGATACCTTTATGGTTGGAAAAAAACTCTGCTTTGAAGCTTTAGCTTAGGACCATTCTTAATGAAATCTCTATTCTATGTGCTATAAATGGATTGTATTGGAAAATTGCATCCTTATGTCATGCACAATAGCACCTAATTTTGCTATGCTTTTCAGAATACCAGTATCTTTAATCCTGATTTACTTCACCTTCTCTGTATTTCTACCTGGCTCCCCCTCCCAAAAAATAATTGTAAAGATGGATTTCAGGCAGTTTAGTTATTACATATCCATACTGCAAGTAAACAAACTTGGAAAAATATAAATTTAAATTTAAGATTCACTAATTCCAGGTGCTAGCAGAGCAAAAGGAATTACAGGGCCAATTCTTTCTTCAGATATTGAAGGCAATAAGTTGGGTGGTTTTCCCAAGCATTTGAGAGCAGCATTGTCTCATTTCTGCTTAAAACATGTTACTTATATTACTGGTAAAGGTTGCTTCAGAGGTTTTGGTTTTAAATATGAAACTGAGCAAAACTGATGGCTTAAGACACCCAAGAAAGCCCATCTTGCTGCTGCACATGTACTCAATCTAACACATCCGTTGTGTTTGTGCTACTGTAACCATGATACTGAGCCCCTGTTTTCTGTTTGGTGGGAAAGGCTGTACTTGCTAATGATTTTTGCTGAAACTTCTTTTTGATTCTAAGAACAGAGTGTACAACAGGTTGCATTCTGTTTCCTGCATAGTTTAAAATGCTGTTTCTCATGCTGCTTACAGCAGTTTGGCTAAAACACTTCCATGAAGCATATGTTGTATCATTCTATAATGATCGAATTTCTTTTCATGAAAATGTCTCCCTTTATGATGTTGAAGGCTTAAAAGTTCCTTTGAGCCTTATGGTTGTAAGAAGGAGGCTTTCAATATTTCAAAATTTATTTATTTAATAGGATGACATTTTAAAATGCAGGCCTAGAGATTTCTGTGGGATGTTGAGAATAGTGACATTTTTATTCCACTTATGGACTTTATCCTTTTTTTTTTAAGAGGGAGGGGGTGGACATTTCTGTTTTAGTTATGTGAAGTAATAAAGAGTTCGATTGCCACACCAGATACCTGAGATGGGGTAAGTAAACTTCTTTTTGAAGTGTTCTGGCTATATTGGTCAAAGTACAGGAAGTTATCTGAACTGCCTGAAGTTGCATGTGGAGTAAAATCAGGAAGAAAGCAGAGTTAAAACTCCTAAAACTCTCACTGACTTACCTCTCAGTTCTCAGTTAACTTCAGTTCTGCCAGTCCTATTCCTGTGGGAACTTCCTGATACAAATTCTACAGGAATTCGCATTTGCACAGGAACTGTTTAATTCCAGTCAATTGATTTCAAGTTGTAATCCACAATCACTGTCTCTATGCAGCATAAATATGGCCAAGCACAAACAGTGATGCACTTAAATGACTAGAAGAAACAGTGAATCCCTGACTTCTTTCTGAGAACTTAATGACATTTGTTTAAAAATTGTGGCTTTTTAAGAAGGATTAATTGTTTTCTTCTTAGAAGCTGAGGGCATATAGATGTAGTGTATTAATCCTCTGATGAAAGAATTACCTCAGCATTTGGATGGTACCATCACTTATCATTTGCATGTGGAACAGTGTATCCTGAAGCTCTTCCTTAGGGAAAAAGCTTTAAAATAGCAGGCAGAACTGGCAGTTCATACAGTTTAACATGTTTAAATAAATTATGACTTAAGAGAAGGAAACATGCATCTTTCCTTAATTTCAACAATGAAGTTCTGAATGAGATCTCAAACACAGAGATCTAAAATTCCAGAACTGAAACCAATAGAATTTAAGAAGCATCCGAACTCTTATTCTCTTCTGACCCTTATTATGATACCTGCTAAAATTTACATCCACTATCTGAGCACTCTTAAGTTTTTGAGAGAGTCCGGCTGTGAGATTTTTGCCATGATCTCCTTTAGCTATTTGTCAAAGCAATGAATATATGACTTGAGTAGACTTGACAGTAAGCTAGAGCAAAATGGTAATCAGTTCAGCTTTCAGTCCTTCCAATACATGCATTTTCAGTTTTGTCATGTGTAAAAAGCAGAATAAATAAAAGACAGCAATTAATAGTCAGCAATAGAGATGTAACTTTACAGTTTACTTGATGATCTGTGGACAGTCACTCCAGGCTTTTGCTTTCCTCTTGGCTAGTGCAAGCCAGGCTGGTTCTGTTGACACTGGGTTAGCATCAGGTGTAGAGAATCTCTTGGCCACCTCCTTTGTCACTGGGGTTGATGGAACAGAATCTGAAATTTCCACTTTTTTATGGGATAGGGAAAGGGAAAAAAAAAAAAAACATTAGTTGAATCCTGTGCTTTGTTGCAGGATTCTAGAGATTTCACTTTTATCTGAAGATATTCTAACACTAGGTATTTATTTCCAACATTTTCAGCTGTATTTGCAAAATAATCAAGTTAGGAAGAGCTGAGTTTCCTTTTTCAGAGGTGATGCCGAGTAATCTAACACAAAAACAGGGACAAAATTTTCAGTCCTTGTGACATCTGAAGGAAACATTTCCAATTTGCTAGTCATCCTCTTTAAATAAACTATTTTAATTACATCTGCACCATAGCAAACAATGGGAAACAAAGCTAGGGGTTTTTAATCTCTGTGGTAATGCAGCTGCTGCACGCGTGTAAACCAAATGTATTCAGTAGTATTTAGATTCCCTCTTCAGAGAAGAAGGTGATCCTATAGCTTCCTGCCTCAATGAACCCTGCCCAAAAGACTGTCCTGAAAAAGAAATCTGCTTTCCCACTGGCTCTTTGGCACATGTTCTTCCAAGTAGTATAAGACAAACAGCTGTCTTCATAAGAAAATGTGTTTAATAAACAAATTATTTCTAAGAAGCAACTTCACAGAGCAAAACCATGGAAGTATTGTAGAGGTCAAATAGAAACATAAATTCTGAGACAGTGAATGCCCTTGAAGGTAATCTGAATAGAAGTCCTATCTGAAACATATGGAGTAACTCTAAAAATCTTAGTTACAAAATAACTTCTCAGTCATTACCTCCTCCCCGCTCCTCCCCCCACCTTCACTTACACATTTTCTTTTTTAGGAGACAATTTTTTTTTGTTAAATGTTCAGATTCCCAATTACTTTTAGTTGCATTTTATTTTGAGGTTTTGAATGTGTATAAAAGCTTTAAAGTTGTGTAGAAGCTTTAAAATTGCATGGATGCAAAAAAAGTTCTCTTTTTAGTGCATCTTTAATCATATATCTTTATCTGCAAGTAAATTAACAGTAGCAGCAGCAATTTCTGTAGATGGGCACTTTGAAAAGGTAATTATTTTAAATACTATGGTAATTTATGCTATTTTAAAGGTCCCACACTCTTATCACTTCCTGTTGTATATGACACAGCTGCAATTTTGAAATACACCACCTCCAAATTGGGTAGTTTTTAATGTCCTTAGAGGAGGACTCAGCAGACTTCCATTCTAAACATAACCTAGGCTGGTCTTTTGTCTTAAATGCTCTTCTAACTGCGGGAAGCCCAAATCGTTCTTATTACCCACAAATACTTGTATATATGTGTAGTTGCTAAAGGCTGCCTGGCTCCAAACATAGTCAGCAATCACAGGGAAATCCAGTCACTATTTCTTAAGGGCCAATAGAGTTCTGTGCTTTCACTTCAGATATTTCAAGATTGGTAATTCCACCTCAATTCCCTTCTGAACTGTCACTCTAGTGCAGACAGAATGACCTTGCTTAATTGGGGTTTGGCCCTTTGATCTAATTTGGCATCATCTATTGTGATGGAGTTTGATTTCTGCTAGAACTGACCATGTACAGCATAACAAAACCATGCTGAGTCTTTGGGGGTAGGGCTGCAATAGAGCCCCTTTAGAGTTTGACAGGAATTCTGCAATGCATTAATACTTTGGCCAATTTATGTAAAATCTTAGAATGGTTTGGGTTGGAAAGGACCTTTAAAGGTCATTTGACCAACCCAGGATGTTCCAAGTGAAGTTCTCAGGGACATCTGCTCTGGTGTGCAGCTGCAATGTGAAGATCCAGCTGCTGAATCAACTGCACATAGGCAGGCGTAGGGGTTTTTCAGTTTGGGACATTCTGCAATGCAGGAGTAGCACTGATTTAGCCTTTAACAAACCAGTTGAGTCACCTCATTGCTTTCAATAGGTGCATTTCACCGTTCTTGCTTAGAGTGATACTGAATAGATGCAGCTGATACGTGTATTTACTTTCAAAAATACTTTTTACTTGCACGGCTTTTAAAAAGGTTTCTTCAACACCTGTCTACTCCAAGACCTTTTCCCTAGGAATACTGTTAGATGGAGAAATATATGCAAGTCTGTATTTCAGCAATCACCTCATGCCACCACAAATATTATGCCCTTTGGGGAAGTATTTATTTTAATTTGCCTGCCTTTTGAATATGAAATAGTTTCAGCTTAACTGAAGTGACAGATAAAGCAGTAGGTTCTGGTTCCAACCTACCATGCCAAATATTTAACTGGGAGGGAGAAATCCTAGATGCAAAGTAACAGACTACCTTCAACTGAATTGATTATCTTTTGCATTTTTCAAATGAGGATACTTCTTTCTAATATTGGGGGGTGAATATTTGTCCTTGACAAACTGGGAGGTGTGAGAACTTGCTTCACTTCCTGCACAAATATACTTTGTGGAAGTTAAATATCATCCCCTGTCTGTGCTATCCCCCAGCCTAAAGGCAAAACAGTACTGCAGTTGCAATTTAGGGTAAATCAGATCCCTCTAATGTGCATTAGTCATGTTCCAAAAATACTGCTGGATATGGCTTGGGGAGACAGCCTAATTTAGTTAACTTGAACTGGGGCAATTCTAAGGAATTGCAGCAGTGCAGCCTTAATAACCTGGTAAAGACTGGTAAAAGTCTGTTAAAATTATGTATTTCCATCAAAACGGCCAGCACCTGAGATGGGAATAGTTGTGTTATTCTATGGAATGCATTTGTAATTCTAGCAGTAGTATATGAGGGAAAGGAAACCCCCTCATTCACTTTATCAAAAACATGCAATACCATTTCTGAAGTGCATTATTCCTAGAGTGAATCTGAATCTCTCAACTGTACCTGTCACAGAAGTTGGAAGGGTGTTCGACTTTTTTAGATGCTCCCTTCTTTCTAGTCTTGACACAGCAGTCTCAATTTTCTTCTCTCCTTCTTGAGTTGTAGATTTCTGCAGTGTGCTTGTTTTGCTGCTGCTGCTTTTGTTATCTGACTGATTACTTACAGCAGCCTAGAACAGAGAAGGAAAACTGCTAAATGAGAAAGTCTGTCATGTAATGGCTACAAGTTAGAGATGACACACTTGGTGCTTTCATTCATCACCTGTCATTTCATTAACCTTCCTTTTTAGCAAAGAGTCACAACACTGATACTTCTAAAACCAACAGTTATTAAAGACTATAAAAACCCACCACAAGGTTGAATTAGTCATGTTGTCATTTCAGTCAAAATACTGAAGAGTTTGAGCCAGCCCTCCCTGTTAAATACAGCATTGAAGTATAGGTGTGCATCTGTGGGCGACTTCACACCCACTGCTGTTTTCTTCCATCAGTTGTCTGTGTCTCAGGTTATGCACGTATCCATCAAAAATTTGGTTCTCATAACAAACAGCAAAATATATTTAGTTATCCACATGCTCTGCCTTTTTGCCATCTTTGATATTTATATACAACATCACTGTTTGTGCAGTGTCACTTTGGTACAGCAAGCAGAAATGCTCCCCTTACTAACAGAAAGCCATGGAGAGTAAAAAGCTATTTGGAGAACAGGAAAGAAGTGATTGAATTCAGTGCCTGCTTTAGGCATTTGGATGTATCATGACTGTTCATTTCTTTTGTTCATCTGTATTTTACCCAAATAGTACATGCTACAATAAAAATAAATTCTGACTTACTAATATTCACCTGTAACTGCATATTCCAGCTGTTATTCCCTAAGCATTAAAGGTTAACATCTGACGTAAGCTGTGAAAGAACCATATTGCACACAATTTTTCAGTTCCATCCCCTGCACAATAGTTCTGCTTATGACTGTCATTAACTACCACCTGATATCATCAGAGTTTACACTAAAATTGCCAAACTATTGCACCACAGTTTCTCCTGGAAGTCTCAGTTTTGCAAGAGGGAACTCCAGACTCAGAATACTTTTTACTCGCTGTCATTTTAGCTTTTATGAAGTCTTACCAAACATTAAAATAAAATATTCCCACATAACAAAGTTAGCTAACAGTTATAATTATGGTGTCAGCATTTCTAATGGGCAGGTTTCTGAAGATTGCTTACATTTTCTTTAGCCAGTTTCTCTGCTTGCTTTGCCTCTCTGGCTTGTCTTCTCTCTTCCCTCGTAGCTTGCTGCTCACGAAATCCCTTTTGCTTTTGCAGTGCTAATGTAATCCAAAGTGGTTGCGAAGTTTCCACTTTTTCCAACAATTTAGAGCCATCTACAGAGTGCCTGCTCTGAAGGACAGGCTTTTCTGAAAGAAAACATGACAAGAATTGATTGAGTAATGCACATCTCTTGTCTTGAGAAAACCTCTACAACTGCCTTGAGAAAATGCTGGAGCTAAGCCCATTGAATGCCATGTCAGTCACAGACCTTTGCAGACTGCACAACAAATCCTGAAACAGATTTTATGCCTCAGGAATAAGACCTAATTCGACACACTCACCCAGCTGTCCAAATCTATCCCTTTTTTGTGTGTGTGTGAAAAAAAGAAATAAAAAAACAGCAGTTCCACTGAGATCCTGTTTTAGAAGTGTCCTGATATTTAAAAAATTCAAGAATGAAAAAAATTGGGATTTCCCGATGAAATGCTGAATTCCTGCCTTGGTTTTTTGAGTGCCCTTACTCTGAAAGGGTAATTTTCCCTCTTGTACAGAATACCATTTCAGGACACAGGGGCTTTCAACTCTCTTCTGAGAAGACATTATGGCTACTCTAATTGTTTTCATCACTGAAGACTGCCTTTGAAGCACAGACTCTTGTGCCCAGCTGTATTGCTTAAATAAAGAATTTGCCCACGATACAGGGATCTACATATTAGTATTTTTTTAAGCTACATAGTATTTCCTTAAAAAGAGAAGCAACAGCATGTAGATTTTAAAAATTACACTATCTGCTCTGATGACACCATTATCCATGGACCACAGAGTCCATCACCTGACTCACTAGAGGCAGAGGTAATATCCCTGCCAAGGAAAAACACACACACACTACTGTTACCTCCTTGAAATTAACTTTCTTAAGTAGTTTGCACTGGTCACACTGAATTTATGGGCTTCTGAATTAAACTGTGGGCATGGGAATTCACACTCATTCAGACAACCCTAAGCAAAGTGACAGTCCTCCACAAGTAACATGCCAGGTAAAAACTATAACTTAAGACCAAATGTCTTCCTCTGGACCTCCAGTATCTCATTTTGGAAAGGTAGACAATAGCTAAATTTGCTTTGAGAAATACATACCTTTCTTCAATGGCTCAGGCTTTTTGTCATTTTTTTCTCTCCATGGAATACTTAGAGATGGGAAAAATGACTTCTTTTCTTTGATTTCTTCCTCTTCATTTTTGTAGTCATTGGATGGTGTGGGTTGGGCTGCATTTGCTCTGTCTTCTTTTCTCCAGCCACCATCTGATTCAGCTTTAGCCACCCTTTGCCCCAGCATTTCAGACAGGTTTGATCTGTTCATTTTAGAGAGAGGAGATGATGGTGGGGTCTGGCTGGTTGGCTTTGGAGCTAAAGCAGGTTTCTGTGGGACCAGTGACTTGCATGCTGGTTTCTCATGAGCAGGTAGAGCACTCTGGCCCGTGGCTGGTGGGACCACTGGTGTGCCCACAGGTGTTGAAAACTCCACCACAGTAACTGAAGAGTCTTTTAAATTGCCAGGGATGTTTGCTCTCCCAGTGCCAGGAGAGGTACTTTCTTGTGAAGTGAAAACAGAGGATTCTTTCTCACCTTCTGTTGAGGTGAGTGGGTCAGGCACACCATCAAAACTGTCTCCTGCACTGTATCTTTTCTTTTTCTTTTGCTCTGCCTGTTGATCATAATGAAAACGTAAAGAGTAGTTTGTCCTTCGTAACTTAATCCCAAAAGGAGAAACATTTTCTTCTCCATTTGATGGTGGTTTATCTGCTTTTTTTGTGCTGTTACTCTGCTGATTTTCCAGAGCACTGGGAAGTTCTGGCTGGGGTAATTCCTTCCCCATAGAATGTGGAAAACTTGGAACAAGGAATGATGGAAGATCTTTTGCAAATTTACAGCCTTCAGTGTTGTCTGTCACTTCCCTATGGGTTTCCATTTTCTCTTTAGGCTTTTCAGCTAAGTTATCCTTAAAAGTGGGAACCACATCCTCCTTTGAATCAGCAGATGAGCCAGTGGTTCTCCCCACAGCCACTGTTTCATTGCCTTTTGCCACATTTACATTCTCAGCATCTGAATTGGCTTTTGAAACGTCTGAAAATTTCTGCCATGCTGGTGTTATTGAGAACTTTGCATTTGCAGAGAGGGTTTTTCTCAAGTTGCCGTGGGGAGCACCACGTCCTCGGGGTGTCCAGTCATCACTGTGCCTGCAGGCAGTCACTCGGTCTCTCTCATTATATTTGTTGTTTTCTGCATTCTTTAGGATTCTGGAGCGGATAGAGGCCCACTCAGCCAGCACCGCCTGGTTGTTCAATGCCTCTTGTGCATGTTTCATTTTACTGCTGCTGGGTTTGGGATCCTGCTTTTTTCTCTCAGACTTCTCTGGAGAGGGAACATCCACATTTTTCCTCTCTTCTGTTAAGCCAAGTAATGATTTGCAAGCCGTGTCCTTAATCTGGTTCAAGTTCACTGCTGTGCCACACAGCTGCGCTCCAGTAACCAAAATAGCTGTGTGGGGTACACACACTGATGACGGGAGGGAATGAGAGCCCTTACTGGTAGTGTGCACCTTGCAGTCTTTGACAGATGGAGAAGAGAGTCCTGCTCCTTTGATGGGCATAACAGGACTCAGATTTACTTTCTGAAATATGATCTGTTTATCTCCAGAAGACACTTGGAATGTGAAGGGTCTGGATGCCATTTGTCTTTCATCTACCTCTTGCCACCGAAGTTCTTCCCCTATGCGTTTCTGCTCCTGAGCCTCAACTTCTTTTTTCAGTTTCTGGGCTAGTATTTCTTCTGCTGTTTTAGTCCCTTTTTCTGGCTGTTTGACTTTTTGGAAACTTGATCCTTCTTGGAGCCTCTCCTCTGCTGGATGCCTAGCAGCCCCTCCAGCAGAACACAACTGATCTTTTTCCTGTGGCTGTTCCAAGGATTTTTCTTGTTTTGGCTGAAGATTTTGTCCTTCTGTGTCTACCTTCTGCTCTTTCAGCTTGCTCCATTCATGTCCGTTTTGTTCCTTTTGCTGCTTCAGTTCATCTTGTAGAACACAGTCTGAACTTTCCATGTGCATTTGTTTTGTGAGTTTGTGTTTCCTCTGCTCTTCCCGTTTCTTTTTCTTATCTGTCACTTGCTGGGGTTGTTCTTTCTCTGTCTTTACTTTCTCCTTCAAATGCTGTCTTTGTTCCTCCTGTTCCTTCTCTTGTTTGAGGCTCTCAGGCTCTTTCTCCTGCTTTAGTTTTATTTCAACTTCTTCAAGGTCTTTCTCTTCTAGTTCTTGTTGCTGTGTTTCTTCCTTATTTTCTTTCTTGAGCTCTGTTTGTTCCTCCAGCCAGTTTCTTTCTTCTTCCTTTCGACTGTCTTTTGCAGTCCTATCTTGCTTTAATTCTTTCAGTGCTAACCTCTTCTGCTCCTCCAGCTCTTGTCTCTGTTTCTCCTCCAGATATTTGTGCTTCTGCTCTTCCCATTCCTGATGCTTCTCCTCCTCCAATTCCTGACATCTCTGCTCTTCCTGTTCCTGGTGCTTCTGCTCCTCCAGCTCTCGTCTCTGATGCTCTTTCTGGTCCTGGTTCTTCTCTTCCTCCTGCTTTAGTCTCTGCTGTTCCTCCCTTTGCTGGTGTCGCTGCCCGTCCAACTCTCGTCTCTGATGTTCTTCTTGTTCCTTGAGCTTTTGGACTTCCAGCTCTTGTCTCTGTTGCTCTTCCTGTTCCTTGAGCTTCTGCACCTCCACCTCTCGTCTCTGATGCTCCTCCTGTTCCTTGAGCTTCTGCTCCTCCACCTCTCGTCTCTGTTGTTCCTCCTGTTCCTTGAACTTCTGCTCCTCCAGCTCTCGTCTCTGATGTTCCTCCTGTTCCTTGAGCTTCTGCTCCTCCAGCTCTCGTCTCTGTTGTTCCTCCTGTTCCTTGAGCTTCTGCACCTCCAGTTCTTGTCTCTGTTCCTCCTGTTCCTTGAGCTTCTGCTCCTCCAGCTCTCGTCTCTGTTGTTCCTCCTGTTCCTTGAGCTTCTGCTCCTCTAGCTCTCGTCTCTGTTGTTCCTCCACTTGCCAGTGCCTCTTCTCCTCCAGGTTTTGTCTATGTTGTTCCTCCAACTCCTTCTGCATCTGCTGTTCCAGCTCTTGCCTTTTTTCAGCCTTCATCAGTCTTCTTTCATCTTTATGGCATGTTTGCTCTTCTACTTTCAATTTCTCCTCATCAAGGAGGTATTGCCTCCTCTCTTCTTCACAGCGTCTTTTTTCCTGTTCTTTCCGTATCTCCTCAAGTTCTTGGCACCTTTTTTCTTCAATTTCTCTTTGTTCTTCCATTTCTACAATCTGTCTTATCCTTTCAGCTTCAAGGATACCCCAGTTCTTCTTGTTCCTTGAGCTTTTGGACTTCCAGCTCTTGTCTCTGTTGCTCTTCCTGTTCCTTGAGCTTCTGCACCTCCACCTCTCGTCTCTGATGCTCCTCCTGTTCCTTGAGCTTCTGCTCCTCCACCTCTCGTCTCTGTTGTTCCTCCTGTTCCTTGAACTTCTGCTCCTCCAGCTCTCGTCTCTGATGTTCCTCCTGTTCCTTGAGCTTCTGCTCCTCCAGCTCTCGTCTCTGTTGTTCCTGTTCCTTGAGCTTCTGCTCCTCCACCTCTCGTCTCTGCTGTTCCTCCTGTTCCTTGAGCTTCTGCTCCTCCAGCTCTCGTCTCTGTTGTTCCTCCTGTTCCTTGAGCTTCTGCACCTCCAGTTCTTGTCTCTGTTCCTCCTGTTCCTTGAGCTTCTGCTCCTCCAGCTCTCGTCTCTGTTGTTCTTCCTGTTCCTTGAGCTTCTGCTCCTCTAGCTCTCGTCTCTGTTGTTCCTCCACTTGCCAGTGCCTCTTCTCCTCCAGGTTTTGTCTATGTTGTTCCTCCAACTCCTTCTGCATCTGCTGTTCCAGCTCTTGCCTTTTTTCAGCCTTCATCAGTCTTCTTTCATCTTTATGGCATGTTTGCTCTTCTATTTTCAATTTCTCCTCATCAAGGAGGTATTGCCTCCTCTCTTCTTCACAGCGTCTTTTTTCCTGTTCTTTCCGTATCTCCTCAAGTTCTTGGCACCTTTTTTCTTCAATTTCTCTTTGTTCTTCCATTTCTACAATCTGTCTTATCCTTTCAGCTTCAAGGATACCCCAGTGATCTTCAATTCTTTTTTGCTTTGTCAGCTGAAGCTGCTTCTGCTCATCTCTGTCGTGGATTAGCTTGTCTGCTGTGAAGCGTCCATTATATCCTGGGTATATGTCCTCATACAGCTGAGTTTCTAGGTCCTCTGGCTCAAATTCTGTTATTGTTAAACTTTGTGATCCCTAAAATTGGAGACAAGTTTGGAGTTACTGAACATTGCCTGTTGGCTTGTTATCCTTCACAATGAACCAAGAGTTGAAAATGCAAAAAAAAATAAATAAATTAAACAGTGATTTAGATGAGCCAACATACCCCACCCCAATTATGGATTACATCATCATAGATCCCATGTCTCTCCCCTATTTGGATGATAGCCTTTAAAAGAAAGAAAACATCCCAAGAGTGACAGCAGTATAATGCCAAATATTGAATCACCTTTTGATGTACATTGAGACCTGCCATTTTAAATTTGCAGAAGCCCAAGGAACAGAGCATGAGTTTCACACGCTCATTCTTCTTCTGCTGCTTAGAACTCCATCCTTTAAGCCTGAAATAATTAATGCCTGCTTAGGGGCATTGTTTTGCCAGTTCTTCCATGGCAAATCTGATACTTGCAGAGACAGAGCTGTTGCCTGCAGAAAAAAGCTCTGCAGTGCTAGCCAGGAAAGAACACTCCTCAGGGAAACACAATTTGCTTTCTTTTCACAAATCCTGAGCCAGGATATCTTCCTCATTAGCTGTGCTGAGACTCCAGCACTATTGTAGGAACTGTGGGAACATGTATGGACAGCACAGCCAGGAATACTGCTCCGTTCCATACCTGAAGAGTGTTTCCCTTTAGGAAAACAGCTCAGTTAATGTCCTGTCTAGCTATCATTTTTTGAGCCGTTGTTTGGCTCCAGTTAACCACTGTATAAACAAGAGGTTTAAATTTAATTTCTTCATTACAAGAGTGATAAATGCAAGTACAGTGGTGCAGAAGAAAGGAAGTGGCCTCTCCTGAGCCCCAAGTAGTTGAATACTCTTGTCCCATTTACAAGAACTAATAAGATGTCAGGATAAAAATCAAAACAGATATGCAGTAAGTGTACAAAGCTACAACTTTATATTTCTCTCTATAGCTGTTGCAAGAGCTACATTGCTTAAGTCTTATTCCTTCTCATAAGGCAAAGATATTACCCCTGTCAGAATCCATGCCCAATTTAGAGAATCTGATTTTTTTTCCCAACCAAATTTTGTACCATCTCATTGTCTATATCAGAGCAGCATTAACAGCAGCACATATCTTCAGGCCTTTATGACCTAAAGTTTTTACTAGAAAAGCTAGAATCAGAAAACTCTTAATGTAAAATCCTAGTGGAAGTACTTCAGGTTTAAGCAGTAGTTGTCTCAGCTGGCAATATTAAAACTTCTTTGCATCTGCTCTCCAGCTAGAGTTTCAGATAACGGTGTTAATCAGATCCCCTGCCTATAAGATCCTGGTACACTCCTTTATGGCTATTTTGTACCCAGTTTCAAAAGTAATCTCCCTCCTCTCGCTGTTTAGCCAGTCATTTAATACCTTTGTCAATCTCTTGTGCTGTCTTGACATCCTCTGCTTTTTTGGCTTCACTGACAGTTTGTGCTTAGCTGCACTGTTGTCTAGACGAGCAAGAGCCTGAGGAACTGAATCCAAATTGATTGTTTCAATTGTGCCAGAACAGGAAAACTGTCTTTTTGGCCGAGCTGACTTCATTGGAGTGACCTGTTTGTATCATAAACACAAGAAACCATTATTAAGCTATTTGTTCCATTAAGTAAGTAAGTAAGTAAATAAATAAATAAATAAATCACACACACACACACACACACACACACACACACATATCTTTGCAGATTTGAATTCAAAGGAATTATTAGCAGAAAAAATTAGAAACCCTGGCTTTCCATTATACAAATTAGAAACTTCGGACATGAAAGCTGCAGTTCTAATATTCTCCCATTTTCAGTACTACACATTTTTATAGTTTTCACATAAAAATTACTTGGACCATTCTATTGAAGTTTTTTCAGTTTAGCTCCACTATGAACTTGTTGGGAATGGGAAAGGCAGAGGCAGAGTTTTAAGCAACATCAAACACTGGGACATTTTAAAGTTTGCTTACTGTGAAAAAAGATCTACATCTTTAAATAATTTAGATTATACACTTTAGGCAGAAGCAAATCAGATTGACTTATCTAAGCTTCATAACAGAAAGCTATAGAGCTGTTCTCTCTGCATGGGAGATGACTGCAGCATTGGATCTCTGACTGGCACGGTGCCTGTGGAAAACCTTCCCTCCAGAGTCATGTGAAATTGTCCAAGACAGCTCCAAACAGCAAAATACTAAAGTAAGACAACACTGGCTTTGATGGGTGCTTTACTTCTCATGCCCTCCAAATACCTTCAGAAAGTTCAGAAAGTGCAAATATAAGCAAAGTGGTTCAGTGAGACTCTTTCTGTGAATAAACAGTGGAACTGTATGTCTAGGCATATAAGAATGAGCCTGTCATCTGTCTCTTCCATAAGTCATCAGCATCCCAAGACTTGCATTTGGCATAACACAAATGGAAAAGGAAGACAGAGAAAAAAAAGGGGGGAAAACATCTTCTGTAAGGAAAGAAATCACATACATTGTTTTCAAGACAGCTCTGTAATCTTCTGAGGTTAAACATATGCTAATCAGGGAACCAATTACTTAAAAGCTGAGGGAACGTTTTGCATATGCTTATTGAATTACATGCAGGCATAACAAAGTATTAGAAGTACTTATGAAAATTATGACTCTGTGATTAATAATACATCAAATAGAGGAATGCTGCGAGACTGGCAGAGACTGGCTTCTGCTGTTTCCTGCAATCACCTCTTAAGATTTCTCAATCTTCGTTATTGCTAGCTCCAAAACTGCACAGCATTCACAAAATATTGGATGATCAATGAAACAATGTACGAAAACAAAAACTGTCAGGCTTCTAATATCTGAAATTAGAATGTAACTCAGTGCAAAGCAAGTACAAACTTTTTTTACCTTTTCTTCCATTTCATGTCCTGTTCCAAGAAAATTCATTTTTCTCAAGAAATCTGGAGTGTCAGTGGACTAGAAAAGATTGCCACAAACAAGTGTTAAAATGGAAAGGAATAATTAATTATGATTCAAAGGACTTGTGAAGTCATGTACATTAGGATAGGATTTTTCCCTCTTTCCTATCTCTTCAGGACTGATGGATAAGCAATTTTTGTCCCTACATGCTCTGAGCTTGTCTTCACTGGTCCTTGAATCACTGTGCTCCACACAGCGCTACAAAAGGCAAAACACTCAGGCTTCCTTAACAAGATAATCAGTTTCCAAAACAAAAGAAAGAGCACAGCTTTGGAGGATTTTGATCAGGTCTTAATGATTTTATTTTCTCTTGAAAAACACAAAAGGAAAAAAGATACTACACTGTTCAGGCATTACCTGTGCTGCAAGGAATTTCAACTCCATGTTCTTGATGACTCTTTCTAGAGAGCCAACAGTCCCCCAGAGCCATGGAAGCCTGGAGAACTAGTAGGACTCTTTAGCTACTGTCCCTGTCCAAGCCATCATGGTGAGGAATTTTCAAGGCAGAGGGCTTGAAGCAGCATTCACCACACCTAGAAACATTGGTTTTAATCATTCTATCACAGTATTACTTCACAACCTCATGCGTGTTGGGATCCCATTACACCACATGATTGTTAATATCAAGGCTAAAAACTCAGCTTCACAACTACAGGATAAATTAAACCCAGAGCTCTTGCCACCAATCTGTGTTACTCAGTTAGAAAAATGAGAAGTCACAGAGCATCACAGGAAACCTGTACAAAGTAGAGCAGATCTATGTGGGCCTAGCCACCATTTTTTGACAGAAGTCACCCCATCCCCCAAGACATATACAGATAGACACGCCAAGGAGTTACAAGACCAGCAGATCAGACAAGAGCAAAAACCAGGGAAGCTGTCACGCACCAGAATTCTCTGAGAACACAGGTAATTAGTAGTGTGCAGAAACAAATGAAAGTACCAAGTGCTGTGGCTGACACTATCCATGTAAAATTGGTTTGTTTGTGTCTACAACTGCCTCTGAGTAGGGATGGTTGCTCCTTCAGTATTTGGAAAAAGAATTGTGCAAAGGGGTGTTAATTTTGTTTTCAAAACATAATATTTTAAAGAGCAGCTGGTAAGAACTGAATTTCTCCCTCTGTGTTACACAAAAATACTCTAGTAGTCACTCAAACCCGCTCCAGTGGGTTTTAGTGCTTGAACTATTGTGTCCTTTGAGCTGGAAGTCACCAGGTGACACTAGGGGGTCCTGCAGGACCCAGGAAGAAGGCTGTCTGCAGAGAATCTGTGTTTATCTCAAACACAGACTCACCTAGCACCAGGGTAGAGACAGGGCATCGCCAAAGCCTGCCCACAGTCCCACTGCACACTTTGTGCTCTGAGGCACATGGAATGCTCTTGATTCACCTTACCCGATCACATCAGAAGGAGAACTTGCTAGGTAAAAATATATACTTTAATTTTTATCTTTCCAGATGGCCAAGGGAGATGTGTGAGTGTGCAGGTCCTACCCAAATGCCTGACTCCCTGGCAGCTTGAGCCACAGCATGCCACCACAAAAGAAGTGGTCACAGAGGAGTTATGTTGTCCCTTAAAGACCGATGAAGAATTTGGGCCAGCTCAGCCATAAACCTGCCTTCAGGGTGTTTGGCTGAACACAGGCATGGATTGCACAGACCCTTGCTACCTTGGCCTTTCACACAGCCAGCACTAGTGTGAGTGAACATGAGCACAGGCTCGTGCCCCGGTGTCCCAGGATCCTAAGGGCCATGGATGGCTTCCCCAAGGGTTCCCAGGCACAAAGCCAGCCCTTTAAGCCTAAGGATCCTAAGGGCCATGGATGGCTTCCCCAAGGGTTCCCAGGCACAAAGCCAGCCTCCTGGCATAGAAGGTTGTCACTATACTCCCTTCTGCCATTACAGCAACAAACTCAACCAGTCTTGCTTTAGAAACTTTCCAGAGACCATTCCTCACCATGTTTCTTCACTGTCTGAACAGGACCCTTCTGGACACCTAAATGCCCACAGCATCAAAATCTCCATGAATTGAATCTCCATGAATTTGAATTATACTGGAAGTTTTCTTTTAGGAAGCATTCAAAATGCTTCTCTCCCTTCTTCACCTCTGGTTCCTGACCTTGAGAAATATGCGTACTTACTCTAAGACCTAGGATTTTATAGGCTTAGCCTTCACACACCTCTCATTTTGAAATTATTTTCCTTTTTGGTATTTGATGCTGCGAACAACTATCCTTGCTGGGAAGTCCATATTTTAAAATGTTTTCTGTATTAGAAAAAATTCCTGAGTTTTAGCAACACTGGAAGTAATGTCTGCACTGCTGGAAGCTCAGTGCAAACACTCAAACCAGTAATTCTGTGTGACCTGGCTCAGGATGCCAGGAGCACGCTTCCCACCAGGCCAAGAAGCACAAGCTGAGAGATCCCTCCCACGTAAAACAGCCCACTGAGCTCTGCTACGCCTCACTGGAAACATCTGCTACACCTCAGTGAACTTGCTGCTTTAGCACTGCTCTAGTGCCATGGACACGTCAATTTAAGTGCTTACTTTATTACTGCAGTCTGAGATCACTGTGTCCTGCTGGGTCTCAGTCTCCATGGGGCTGCTGAGCAGTGCATCATCTTCTGCACTGGCGTTTGCTTCCCCCATCGTCCTTGCAGAAATTGTCATTTGTGGAGGCTGCCCAAATTTTATATTTTTGGCCAACTGTTGCTGAAAAACAAGAAAAGTAAAACAAACAAACAAAACAGGTATTTATATTACAAGCAAAACAAGCCAATCCCAGCAAGTGCCCCTTCTCTGCCTGAAAGCTGCACAGAAATATTCTGGGCAACTTCTTACTCTGGACAAAAAAAAACAACAACAACAACAAACAAAAACAAACAATCAAAAGCCATCCTGAGGCTCACGTTGTTGCAATGTGGTGGGCACCATCTCTTCTTTCTCCCCACAAGGTGACTAAAGTGAGGAATTTACTACATGATTTCTGATTTTAGTTCTTGACGGTGTTGCCAACTTTTGAAAATTTGCTGTGAGTTTTGAAACAGTCAATCTCTTTTTTATATCTATGTTCTAGCTTAAGACTTTGTTTACAAAAGCTAATTATGAAGCCTTTTAGTTGTGACGTTTAAGCTTATGAGAAAAGTGTACTGTGAGAAATTAAAACTACCCCAAAAGGCAACCTTTTTATTTTCTAGCCCCCAAACCCTGCACCTCATGAAACTGTATTTCTAAAAGGTATCTTTATTGTAATGTTTAATCATGAGTTTTAAATGTTAAGGGTTTGGCACAACCCTGCCTTAGAGAAGCAAATTCTCAAAGCAGGGGAAACCCAGCTCTTTTAAATGCTTGATCTCATAGGAAGAATATACAAACTCAGGTCTGCTAATGCTCATGAGCACTGCCACTCACTGCTGTTGCACAAAGGAGTTTAGGCAGGGGACATGCAAGAGATGGATGGATAAGAAAGCTTTCCCACCGTTTATTTTCCATGTTGAAGCAATATTCTGTCACGGGTTACAAGGAAGTACTCTTAAATTGCATCAAGCATAAGATGAATAAAATAAGAAGCGTGTACTATGTGTCCTCTAGCAGGGTGAGTTAAAGAAATTGCAGCCCTGGCTACTGCAGAGACATGCACCATACAGACTTTGAATGTGAACTTTTTGCAAAGGAGAGAAGAAATTCTCTAGAAGGAGCAAATGGAGCAACAAACATTTATGAATATATTCTTTTCCCGAAAAATTTCAGGGAATCATTCTCAAGTAGGAAGGAAGGGACCATGGAGTTACTTTCCTGCTTTGCTGTTTTTCAAGGACAGAGAATTCTCCAAAGAGGATCTCCCATTTTTGTCTTGTGATACTATGAACAAGTAATTCAACTGTGCAGCTTCTATTCAGGGGTCATGTCAGATACTTACACAGGACCCTAAGAGAAGTTTGCTGCTGAGAGTTGTGGAAGATTGAAGTAGATAGTAGGTAAAACAAATTTTTTTTTTTCCCCTATAGCACATTGAATCAGTAACACAATGCACACATGAGGAGTTGTTAAGGAAAGATATCCTCTAAAGGAATTCAGTTCAGATTAGTCTTTCTTGCCATAGTTCCCAGTGGGCTAGACTCATATCAAGTTTATCCATATTATCCCAAAAACATTAAGAGATTTGTATATGGAACCATTAAAACAAAAATTACATGCAGAAATTCCTCATAATCAGGTTATTAAACTAGAATAGCTTTTTCAGTCTCGTCACTGTGTTAGCAATTTATGCCCATTTGAATTTTGGCAGAAAGTAGTGAAATTTGTATCGTAAAGCATTTTAGCATAGTGAACAGTTCTGAATGGCAAACTTTTATTTCTACCTGGATTACTGGCATAATCTCAAGGCAAGGGTTTCACCAAGTCCTTGCAGGCTTTTGTGTTAGCAGTGCAGCTCTCTGACTTGAAATCTCACATGATTCCATTGTGTACATGGGAGCTGGAAGGGGCAAAATGGTCTGTATGAGATCGTGTGAGACCTTTAATTCTGCTCTATTCCTGCAGGCCTTCTCAATATTAGAATCAGAATAAAATTATTTCAGAAAAAAGTATTAATTTGATGATGTGTTTTCAAAGTTGAGACTGCTCTTTTCTTCCTCCCAAAGTCATATTCCTAGACAAATAATTCTCCTGGGCAGAAAACTGGAACTATCAGCATTGCTGAGCAACCAGCTAGGAAACTACAGATCTGTGCATCTGCTCATGGTGGGAACACGCACACGTTAACATATTGCTTGCAGTGTGTTTTGGATGAAGGGATGGGGTGTTACCCTTCTGATCTTCTGACAAGTTCTTGATGTAAGTGTGGGTGTGCAGTGCTTGCTGGGAGTTCGGTGGTGGAGCTGTGGAGAAAGGTCTATGCTTGAAAAAGAATGGTCTTTTTAATTACCATCAAGGGTGCTTGAGGGCCCTGCAGCAACAGTGTCTTTTTCTGTATATAAAAGTTTAAAATGTTATTTTCCTGATATTTCCAAGAAATATACTTTCCTCAATATTAACGGACTGTACACAGTTGTGACTGGTTTTTGGTTTTGGGGGTTTTCTAATTGTTTCAAAGCTTTAAAAGTTTGCTTGCTGAGACTGAAATAAATTAGTTTGAAGATTGAGGAATAAACTCCAGTAACCCTCACCCTTCCAGAACAAAAGGTGTTTCTCTGTATTATTTATTTATTGGCCTTTTTTGAAAAAAATTATCTTAAAAAACAAAAAGCTCCACTAGTAGTTCTCCACTGGCCAGTTTCTTTTGGTGCATTCTAATCTCTAAAGCTGACACTAAATACCAAATGAGCAAATGTCAAAATCTTAAATAGCTCATTGTAACTACTGAGCAAATTTATTCTTATTGCCGTCACAGGGTAATGCTAAACCTGCTTCTTGGTCTTTTTTAGAATGTGCTTATAATATAACTGCAATGTAACTCTCAGAAAAATTCCACACTGATGGATTTTCTACCTGGTCAATCATAAAAATTCTAAAAATGCATCATCCATGAAAGAAAATAAAAACCCCACAAATTTTACTTGGGAGAACACTCAAATAATCTCACCCAGAGATGGAGATACACCAGTTTAAGATGGAAGACCTTTGAGAAGAGGCCATAACCCCTGAAAAGGAGCATCTGCTTTAAATTTCTCAAAAGTTTCAGTCGGATATATATTTCTGAACACATAACTATAAATCCTCTGTAGTTAAGAATTCCCTGTGCTGACAGTTTGTGGCTGATTGTTGCCTAAGGAGGATTATTTGCAATGCCAGTCATTAGGAGTTGCAGGCATCACATTTTGTTCTTCTGCCATTGCACAGCTGTGGCTAAATAGAATTTTGAAAATCTCCACAGACACATATTGGGCTCAGTCAAGGACCTTGGTCTCTCTTGGTTTGTTCAAGAAGACTTGTAATTTAGCAGGCAGAAACCACCATCTTGCTCTGAAATCTGGCAACCGGAAGCAGCAGCAAACAGATGAATTTTCTGTGCCTGCACCTCCCACTTCCAGCTTTATCAGCTGCAGTGGGCACTCCTGGTCCCTCCGTTTGCAGCCAGTGGGAAAACATTTCCACAGGACTTACAAACCCTTCTCACCACCAAGGAACAACTCAGCTACCACACAGTACCTATACCATGAAGCAGGGACTGGAGACACCACACACAAGGGAGCTTTAGGATGACATCCAAGCCAAGTTTACCTCATCCAATTTTTTTTTTTTTTTTTTTTTTTTTTTTTTTTCTTTTTTTTTTTTTGTGGAAGATTCATGAGGTTTCTGTAAGATTCCTGATAGTTTTTCTCCTCACACAATTCGGTGGCTGTCAGTGCAATAGTGATGTCTGCACATCCAATACTGATAAATAAATACTAGGAATTCAGATAATTCTAAGTTTATACTCATTCAGTTTTTAAAATCTTTCTTGGTAACTGGACCATGACACAGGCCCACTTCTATTTCATGCAAAATAATTTGCTAAAATGTGATACTACTTAGCTGACACCAGCTTCCCATTAATAACTTAAGGAATAAAGCTCCTAAGCAAAATTGTTCTGCGTTGTCTGGCACCTGCAGCTAATAAAAAAAAAAAGCCCAGACTTTCAAAGCACTCTTTGCATTTGCATAGAAAATGCCACAGAACAAGTTTTCCATATTAATTGGCAAAGAGCCCAGATCAGGCTGTACATCTCCTCTCTCACTTCCATTTGGCTCCTCTTCTGTGTACATGCCTACTTGCATGTCTGTTGGGTTCAGGCCCCTGAAACCACATCATTCTTAGGGCTTCATGCCTGGACTGAATCCGAAACTGGATCCACTGAGCTGCTTGCTCTCTTCAGTTAAAAATCATTAAAACAGAGTGTACTATTTCAGCTCATTCCATTCAAACAAGGCTTACAAGAAATGCTGGCCATACTTCTCCTTCAACTCAAAGATCTACTCTTCATATCTGCTTGCAATGCCTAAATATAATGAAACTTAATTGAAATTAAGTTTTCTAGTTATATATCAATGGAAAATAATTACTTAATTAACACTTGTCCTATAAAAAGGCACACTGTTGAAATTCCACTTGGTCCTGTATGGTATCTCAGAACGACCAAAAATCAAATGCTTTGGGAATACATAAGAACAGGGTGAGCCAACGCTGAGCCCATACTTGTAAATGCTCCAATGATTTGTGGCATCTGAGGAATTTTTATACAGTCCAACAAGAAATATTTGTTTTGATTTGGAAGTGTTACTAGTTTCAGCTGTTGCTCATGCATTCTTATGCAGTGAAAGACTGAATAATTGTTCTCTATTCATGTTATCAATTCCATTCATGATTTCAGGCATCTCTAACATATTCTCTCTTGTAATTTCTTTTCGGGGCTCAGAAGAGAGTTCACCGAATTCATGGTGAAGTGTGGAAGTGAGTCCACTTCTTAATCCAAACTGGAACATCTGCAACATATCTAGACAAATTAAATACCCCACATGAGCTGTTTTTTTTTTTTAATCAAGGAGAAAATAATATTGGTATAGCTTTAGAAAATAATCCAGGTATAAAATTAAGATAGAAACCTATAGAAAATTAGGAAAAGAACAAGTATTAGCACAGACCTTTTGGATACAAGATGCAGGGAGGAAACTACTCCACTCTCCATTGCTGGAGCAGTATGTGGTTAGGGGCAATACACTTGTAGAAACTTTTTGGGAGGGTCCAAACTAGAAGAACAGTGAAGGAGCAAACTGTAAATGGACCTCTAGAGATGTGTATCTGCAACAAATCCAGACATGAATGAAGATTTTGGTGCACAGTGGTGATGGATCACTTACACATGCTCATGTGTAAAGAGAAAATTTTGTGGAGAGGGTTGAAGATACAGCATCTGTGGCATTTGTCACATCAGTCTCTCCAAAAGCAAAGCAAATGCAAGGAAGGAAAAATTTCCTTCCTTGGAAAGCAAGCTTATTTTCAGAGATTAATATGATCATAGGAAAAAGAAGGTCTGCCCAAGAAACGCTAGAATGGTTTAGAAAAAAAATTATAAATTCAGTTCATCAAACAAAAATAATTTTCAAATATGAGGAAAACAATTTGTCTGCAGTGGCACTAGAAAATAATGGCAAGAAAGAAATCAAGTGTAAGAAATACAAAGCTAGGCAATAATGAAGTGAAAATTCACTCCCAGTTCTGAAAAATTCAGAGCATCATGGTAAAAGATAATTGCTTTGAGGTTTAAAAAATGGCTTTGTAGCTTTGTTGTGATCTGGGCAGTCAGAAGCAGAAGATACACTGGGAGTGGCTGGTAGAACAGAGATGTGCAATGCACAGTGAGGGAAGCACTGGCTTGGTCATTAGCTAAGATAGGCTAATGACTAAAAGAAATGTAATTCAGAACACTAGAGTCATAAGGTCTGACAACGAGAAAATCATACAGGTCATTCATCATTACAAAATCAGGGAAATATGAACTTTAAAAGTGGTCCTTTTGCATTTGACCGAAAAGTTGTGCTACATGAAAAATGTTTTCTCATAATTCGTATCTGTATAATAAATAAGTGCTTTTTAGCTTTACAGAGCAGAGGGTTTGTTTTAAACTACATGGCCACAAAGGAACAAAACAAAACAAAAAAGGATGTAACCCAGTAGTTCCTAAAGGCCATAAGCCATATGTCACAATCTTTAATATTTCTTGCAGCTGCACAGATGTCAGATGACCCACGATAATTTCAGTGAAGGCAAGCAGTGGAGAACAAAGGCAGCAGCAGTGCCACACCATGGCATCATCACAGCAAGTGGCAGAGAGTAGTGTAGACGCTCCAGGAAACCAATGTTTTAAACAAGCTTCCATTTTGCCTGCTGCAGTTTTGTGAGTGTGAAATAAAAACCCTCTTCTGCTCATTTGGTGACCATTTCTGGCAAATATCAGAGGTAGGAAGAAGAGTCACAGCTACAAAACATCAGGAAATTGTTTTAAGACACTTTGATGGGAGAAGAAAACCAACCAGTAACCTCTGGAAGGGAAGGATGTAAAAATGAAGCTCCAAGAGTTGGGTTGTGGGGCTTTTTCTGACACACTGCTAGGTTTACAGTTTAAGCATTCCTTGTGTCTCATTCACAGCCCTGCATGACAAGTAAATCAACAGATCCCCAGAAACTAAAAGAGCTCAATATTAAGAGTACCAGTGCCTGTGTACCACCTCTTGCTGGGAGCAGGTTCAGGCTGGCTTTCTACCCTGGATCTTAAACATTATGTAATGATAAATCTTAGGTCTTTTCCTTGTTCCAAAGAACAAGGAAAAGACTGCTTTTACAACACCAAATGGCTTCAGCCAACACAAAATAACTGCAGGATACAAAAGGGCTGCTGGAGGTTTATGAGAGGTCAGGCTTTTCTCAGCCTGAGTTCTAGCACACAGTAAAACCCTTGAACATGACCAAATCCATTTACAGAAAGCATGATAAGATGAATACTGCCAATCTGAAAATCAATAAAACCAAATGAGAGCAATTCCAGAAAGAACTAATTTGCCTTTCATGCTTAATTAGAAAGAGAATTCCCACAATAAGCAATTGAACCAGTGCACGGGCTGGCCAGCTGCCCTGATTACTACGGAGTTTGCACCATTACACAACAATTTTGTGGGTTCATCAACACTCTGAAGTCAGCAGAAAGGCAAGACAAGAAGGAGGAAACACTTTGGTGATCCCCAGAATGAGATCCAGCACCATCAGTATTAAATGGCTTGCATTGCTATTCTGACTTCAAAACCCTTTTTGCCATGCTGTCTCTTAGATTTGTAAGTGTGGGGACTTTTCCAAAAAAAGATTTAAGTTTTCCAGGAACATTTTCTGTACTACCTCCAAAAAAAGAACAAAAAAAATCCCCAAAACTCCTGAAAAGGGTTAAAATCTGCAGAGCTTTTGATCTCCATCTGGAATGCACAAAGTTTAGAGTCAGCACAGGGCATGGAATCCTGGCAACAATTCTTTACTGAAGAGTACGTTGCCAGGTAAATGGAAATTGGAAGTGCTGTGCTCCCACCCTGACATACAAGCCTGGCAAAGCCACAGTAATGCTGATGGCTGGCCACAGAATTGCCTTAAGGGGCAGAGTGCTCTTCAGAAGAGAGAACTGGCTCCTCTTAATCCACTGCTTTAAGAAATACAGAAGTTCCCAGCTGGAGTTAGCTTGCAGAAAGATTTCAAAGATGGTAGAAGCTTCAGGTATCAGGAAACAGAGCATCAACATTTTCTGTGACTGCAAAATCACATAGCAAACACTGGCTCATAGAATAGCAGGAAAAAAAGCATGGGGTATGCAGTGCATTAAACCTTCAAACAGGAATGATAGTCCAAATAACTCATCAGACCTGGGACCCAACTCTAAGGTCAATTTAAAATGTGCAACGGGATTTTGGCATGACTTTTTCCTAAAACTCAGGGAACAGTTGCAGAAATCATGCCTAGAGAAATGGGAAAAGTTACATGGTGGGCAGCAATTTTTGAAGATACAAGAAGTGGTCCTTGGGCTAATAACAGGGAGGCTTTCCATGGGTTTACAAAAAAAAATCCATGGACATTTAGATGAATGTATGACTGTTCTGTGTGAACATGTAAATACTGAAAAGTGTCATTTGCATTCCTTATGCATTCCCTTTCTGAATGAATAAGTGGCTCTCACCACCATCATCAGAGTTGAAAAATGAATCTGGTATGTTACAGGCTGGGTTCCAGCTACACTAAAATGAGAAAAATGAACTACCGTCATTCAATTTTAAATAAAAGGCAAGCACATTTTTTTACATCAAGCAGCTGAAACAATATTGTCCCTTAAAATACATGCAATTGACCACACTAAAAAAAGGCTTATGCAAAGTTCATATGAGCAAGAGAGTACCACTGGCTATTTATTTTGTGACTTTCAAAGATGACATTTTGCTCTAATTTTCTTGATTTAGCATTTGCTTAGTGAACACGGTTGTTACCAATTGTATTAACTATGCTTTTTCTCAGGTAGCTTAGTTTAGCAAAGGCACTAATTTCTATTGAGAATTTTAAGCTGAATTTTGATATGAGAGAAAATAACACTGGAAGTGAAAAGTTACTCAGAGAAAAGCTAGTATACGGAGGCTAAGAAAACAAATCCAACAGACAGCGAGGGCACAGCTCCCTGAAAGAGCTGGTGGGCTTTGTGGGACATTGCAGGACAAGCCCACATACCTCAGGTCTTGGCCCCAGAGTCAGCAGTCATTTGAAATATAGTGGTTTCCAGACTGGAAAACAGCATGCACTGAATCTACCTGACCCAGGGAAACTTAAACTGAAAAGCCAGCACAGATGAATTGGAGATGTCCTAGTGAGGCTTTACTCCAGAGTCCATCCACAGTCAGCACTGGGCAGGTGCTCCGTCTGCTGACAGCACCAGGCAGGAGGCAGAACAATTCCATCCTGAAGGTCACAGATGTCTAATTTCAGGACCTCTCACTCACCAGGAAAGATGGATTGTGGGTAGGCTTCAGAGGTAAGAGAAATCAATGGTATTTTGCTAGTCATCTTCAGGGTAACAGCACTTGCACGGCATTAAAAATTCATCAGCATTTTGACAGGATATGTCAGCATCCTGAACAGTAAAGTGCAACATGTTTCTGAAGGACAGCTCTCTCAAGGTCTAGAAAGGCATAAAGCTGTGAATCTTACAGATATACAGGGAGTAAAGCAAAAAATTATTTTGAGCACTAATGGGAGAGTCCTGAAAAAGAAGGGAAAGCGGATCATATAAAGCTCTTTAGAAGCAAATACCCAAATGTGTTGTTTATGCTTTGGAGAGATAAACAAATCCACCTTCCATGAAAACCACTGAAATTGCAGAGAGAAAAAAGAGAAAAAAATGCAATACATATAAACATATAATTAAATTGGCTTTGCAAAGAAGTCTCACTCTGCATGCCATTCCCTGCCCTCAACACTGCCTTCCTTTTTTTTCTCTCATTACCACAATTGTATGACTTAGGCATACAGATCAGGACACACCAAAACCATGAGTTCAATTCAGATGAGTCCCACAGGTGCAGATTTTTCTGCAGATATGTTTACAGCATCAATGCTGTACTTTCCAAGACCAAAATCTGTAACTTCTGCAGATTATTTTAATTACTTGCAATAGCTTTTGGCCAGAGAACTTAACAAGGCTGAGAATCTGTCCCAAGGCTATAGGAAAAGCAACCAATCTTTATGCACATTTAATATGTTCTGGAGAACATTTTCCACATTTTAAATATTTTTCCCACTGGCAATTTCTTACCTGAAGAATTTTGACTTTTCCTAAAACGTTCTCCTGTGACATTGCTTGAATGGCCTGTTCACTCTCTGTTCTCCCATCAGGTATGAAAATACTGTCATGGGAAAAAGCTCGACTGCCCATAGAATAATGGGAGGATCTGTTAAAAAAAAAAAAAACAAACAGTCAACAAGTAAGTACTGCAATTAATTTATGAGAGTGACTCTTCATATCATAGTTGTCCTGCTGTATGGATTCCACCCCCCCCTCCATTGCCTTCTAATTAAAACCTTTGTACATTCTCAGAGGAGAGATATCCAAACACTTTTTGTTTTCAAAAGTTTAATGGAGGTGCATGATTCCTTTATATACAGTCTCCCTCCTTGGAAGGACCTAGAGTTGGGTGTTTTTAACAGGAGTGTTGAGAAGTTCAACTGATTTTGCTTGTAAGCCTCAAATCTGTTTGAGGACACAGACTAGATGGTGAGGATGCACATACTGCCAGACTGCGTATCTAAGAAAGTGCATTCATGCTCAGTGCCCCTGCTTGGGAGTGACACACTGTCACTCCTGGTCAAAGAAAACAGCAGGTGCCAAGCAAAGGGAGCTCTGTAACACAAAAACAGAGGTGTTACAGTGCAGGAAGACTCTTCTACACAGCTACCTCCTTTAGCTGATGGCTCAGCACTTGCTGTGGCCATGAGCATGATCACACTGCCAATAAAAGGTTATCACCAAACCCCCAGCTGCTCAGAAGCTGCACCAGGGTGTGTGTCCTTGATTAGCCACGAAGAGCAAGAAATGCCCGTGTGCTGCTGCTAAACTGAACACTGCTGCCAAGAGGAGGGTGTGTCACGCATGAACCTGTTATATGGCTCTGATTGAAGTCCACAGGCAAAGGCACGGAACAAAACGGGGTTTAATTTACCAGAAATCATTCCAATGAATTTAATTGTAAGAAAACTTAAGAGTTAAAAATAAAATTAAAAAAGGCTAGTGGTTTTGGGGGCACACTGAGGGAAAAATGTATCTGTTTAAAAGTTATGTTTTGTCTTACCTAGAATATTCCATGGTAAGTGGAAAGCTAATAATCTATAATCATGATAAAGCCACAATTAAAAAAACCAGAACAACTATGAGGTCCTAAATCTCCACTTTTAATAACTTGTTGGCAACCATACAGAACCCACTCAGAGTTTCAGGAAACAATGTGGAGGGAAAAATATATAGTTTTGATCTAGATCTATCCAACATAATGTTCTACATATGATAAAAACATTATAAATAAATATTTCAGCAAAATCAAGGAAGATGATACTTCCAGTAAGAGATGTAAGTAAAAGAACAAGAAAAATTAAGTTTCACACATTTAAGATCAGTATATTATCTTTTCTGCCTTTTAAAATGCGCTAATTGTTCATGAAGTGTTCAAGATATTTCTACTCATACTTTGGAAACAAATAAGTTAGGAATGTATTTATTACATTTTAATCTCATTTTTCCCTGAGGTATTTTAAGTAAAAACAATAATCTTTTCTTACAAAGGGAGAGTGTCATATAGGGTTACATAACCTTGTTGAAACAGATTAGATGATAGACTATTCTTGACTTTTATAACAGAATTTCTTAGAGAGAACCTGAAAATAACACAATAAAAAGTCCATCAAACCCTCTCCCTCTCCCTCTCATTTATATATAAAATACTTTTGCACTCACAAAATAATCAATCCAGTTTTGGGGGGAGAACACACACAGTTCTCTGAATCATTCCATCTTCCATAGAATCACAGACTAACTGAAAAACTTATTTTCATCCAGATTAGCATTTGAGTAACATGCTTAGTTTGAAACAAACCAACAAACAATCAGGCAAAGAGCCGGTCAATATTCCACAACACTTTTAGCCATGGAAGAAGAGGAGCATTCAACTGATGCTATATTCTGTGTTAGATTTTTTTTTTTATAAAACCCACAACTCGGTTGCCTCTGGCTGTTAAAGTACACCTTTAAAGTTTCTTTTAGAAACCTTTTATTACAGAAACCATAAAATTATATTTTTAAACCTGCTTCTAAAAAGGTTTCTGTACCGAATCACTGTGACTCAGTCTGTTCACAGAGCTGTGGGAAAACTGATGGCACTGAAATACCTCTACCTTGCTTGGCCAGCCAGGAGTCAATCAGTGAACCACAACTTGAGAAGCGTCCCTTACACAGAGACAAATTCCTAGCAGGCCTGTAAATGAAGGGTTTGACATGAAACAGAGTGAAAGTTGGCTTTCCTCGTATAATTGTGTAGGTCTGTTTGAACTGAAAGCTCCAGCATTGCATTCAACAAGGTGGGAAGGACAGACAAAAACACTGACAAACCAGCCCTTGCAAGCCCTCTGGCACTGGCACTGCTCAGTGTGTGAGCCTGCTGCAGGTGCAGAAGGCAAGGCCAGTGGGAACTGGTTGTTTGCTATTTACCTTTGAGCTGAGAGATCTGCTGAGAATGCATAGTCCAGGTCATATTGTTCTCCAGAGAGGATCCTTTCTCAAATATTTTGAACTTGAGAAGCATCCCTTACACAGAGACAAATTCCTAGCAGGCCTGTAAATGAAGGGTTTGACATGAAACAGAGTGAAAGTTGGCTTTCCTCGTATAATTGTGTAGGTCTGTTTGAACTGAAAGCTCCAGCATTGCATTCAACAAGGTGGGAAGGACAGACAAAAACACTGACAAACCAGCCCTTGCAAGCCCTCTGGCACTGGCACTGCTCAGTGTGTGAGCCTGCTGCAGGTGCAGAAGGCAAGGCCAGTGGGAACTGGTTGTTTGCTATTTACCTTTGAGCTGAGAGATCTGCTGAGAATGCATAGTCCAGGTCATATTGTTCTCCAGAGAGGATCCTTTCTCAAATATTTTTCCAGTTATGCTGTGGCTCAGACACTTGTGCCTTTGTCTCACAGCTACTCACTGTGCATAAACACCATTCACCCCTTTTGCTGTCCAGTGGGTTGGACTTCTCATGCTTAAAATCAGACACCTCATGTATATTTGTGTGTGTCACAAGTAATTAGTAGGCAAGGGTTGCAATTCAGGTACCAAAGAGTTCAGTGACTTGTCTAGAAGCTGTTCTTGACCTTACTAATGAATTGTTAATATTGAAGTTGGGAGCAGCCAACCTGCAGCTTTGAAACTGAAGAGAATTTTCCAGCAGTTCAAACGCCAAAACTGCAGTTGACCAACAGCAGGAATACTCTGACTGTAGGAATTTCCTGGTAACACCTGAATCTCTGAAATGGAAGAAAAGAGCAACTGCTGAGGTCATTTCTGGTGGGCTGCCCGGGACATGGCTGTGAGTGAAAATCTTCCCCACTCTGCTGCAGAGCTGAGGACACTTTTAGGAATCCAGTTTCTCCTCCTGACTGAAAACGTGCCTAAATTTCATTTAAAACTTTCTTTGGGGACACCAGGTCACGTGAAGCAGCTTGGCAGCTCCATGTGACCTGCAACCATAAGTACATCTCCACTGAAAATCCAGCCCTGTCTTTGACAAGTGCCCACAATGGCACCAGTGGCAGGTTAGGACCATGCTAATAAGCATTTACAACATCTCCAACTTCTCTCAGACACCAGCTGCTCTCTCTCTCTTCCACCCTCCTTGTTACAATGCACACACATTTTTATTTCATAGCAAAAGGGAGGACAAACGTATCTGAAAGGTTTTGTCTCTGTTTTTGTTTTCTTGTTGACTTTGTAATAAAACATAACTCCAGACTGTCAGAACATGAAACAGTCACAAGAAACCCCACAGTGAATTAATGCCAGACTGCTCTCTACTCTATCCCTTTGAAATGCTTTGCAAATATGCTGAATATTTAAGAAGTGGGTGAATGAGCAATTCTGCTAGCCACATGTCCAACAACTGGTAAAAATAGTTTAAGAATTTTGTTTAAATATCTATGTAGGCTAAAGAACATTGGAAAAAAGATATTCACACATCATAGTAACCTAGTTTCTTTTACAGGCAAGTTTAAATAGCAGTTAAGGTGATTTCCAAGCCACTTGTACTTTCTGAAAGGTCTCTTATTTTACTCCCTTGGAGACCACAGTCCTTTCACATTTTCCCAGTTGTGAATTTGACAGATTATATCCCAAAGGTCCTTTTTCCACTGCATTTTTCACTTTGCTCATGTTCTACTTTTGGAAAGACTGAATTTAAGTCATAATACAGAATGAATAATTGAACTTCCTTTGCTGCTACCCATCTCTGAAGTTTTTCTCAGAAGTCTTTATACAATAACATCCTCACAATCCACATTTATAGACTGTTCTCCCTTCAGTTAAAAGGAATATCAGGATGTCAATATCAGGAGTGGATTTCAACAAATTCACAGCATGACAGAGATATGGGCTACAGTCACAGCCATGGCTGAAGGTATTACAGTTTCAAACTTCCACATCACTTCCAAGAGACGTGGGAAAACAGGGGCACCACTTTATGAGCACTTCTGTTGATAATTCCAGTGATGACACTTCAGAGGCTGTTTGTGCTGAAAATAGTTGAATCATCATCTGACTCACTTTCAGAAACCTGACTAAATTACATGAATTATGGATGTGCTATATCAAAATACAAAGCACTTTTAACATGTTCTCTCTGAAGATGTGTTGCAACCCAAATATCATGTTCCAGTTTCAATTGCAATACACAAATTTTCAAAACTAATTTTTTCATACTGAGAGCAAAGTTAAATTCCATTTGCTCTTTAACCATTCCTCATTCTTGCTGAGGTGTCTGTGTGTGCTAAGAAATCTTCACAGTAGAATGGGACCACCCTGAGCCTGCAGGAAAAGTCTTATTTCTTTCCCATGAAACACAACAGAGACCTTCTTTGGACCCTCCCTTGGCTGGCCACTGCTTCAGTCCTATTTAGGATGTGATCTTCCATCAGTTCTAGGTACCTCAAGTCAGGACTGGGTGAGGTATCACACCCTTTATCCTCCTCTCCATGTGTTCCCATCACCTCTTCTGTGCCTTATTAGTGGCCATTGTTCACATGAAACAATTCAGAGAAACGTTCTAGCTGCATATCTAGAGAGCTGTTGGAAAGAGTCGGACACCAACCAACATTTACTGCTGTGGGACTGAACCTCCTTAACTGCATCAGAGCGTGTGC